TTCACTCTCACAAGGACACACACAGATAGAAACACACAAGCGGATAAACAGTTTTCTTGTAAATTTGTCAATTGTAATTCTTCAGCTGTGATTATCTGTGTCATCCGCTCAGAAATAAAATCAGAAATGGCAGCATTTTTTTTTAAGTCCAAATTTTGACCTGAAATCATTATGGAATGTTGCTGTTATGAAATTTAAGTAAAATGACATTTATTTTTTCATACGTCAAGTGATTATTTGATGTCCAGTGTACTGAACATTCGGACTCACTATACAACAGCAAAATATTACACAGATTTCATGGTAAAATAATTACATTTTTACAGCTAATATTGTGTAAGCTGCTCCATGAAATAAAAACATTAATGTTGCTATTACATGTTATTGCTGTAATGCTGTTATTACATTATTACATACTGTTAATCAGTATTATTTACTTACTCATGTAAAGACAATAAAATGTAAAAAAAAACAAAAACTATGGTATTAAAGCATATATTAGTAATTACTACTTTATTCACATTTTGTTATTTTATTCACATTTTAATATTGATATTGATTCTGAATAACATTTCAGTTAAAAATTTTATATGCAGTAGACACATGAAATTTGTTCTTGCTTTAACTGTGCAACATTGATAAAAATTTATTATTTAAAATTTGATGTCCAATTTAATTGAATGGCATTTAATATTTGTTCTTCCCATAGAAAACAAGGCAGAATTATTGTTATCTGAATTATTAATCATAATTAAACATTATTTATCAGTTTTCATTAATTTAATTCACAATTACTACCATTCTAAATTTGAAAGCATGTAGCGTGATGCATGAGGACGGCATGGTCTCTCGTTCCGTCCCTTATTTCTGAGGAATCACTTCACTCTCTCTTGCTGTCTAACAGATCTAGCTCTTTTGTGTGCTTCACTCCACTAGGAGGCCAACAGATAAAGAGGTGCAATGAGGCCCTCTTAAACAGAGTACTCTCTCATTTATCATCTAACTTGACAGTGCAACAGCACTCATGAGTGAATTTTATTAAAAAATAAAAAGGTTGTACAGTGTGTAGTGCATGCTAGCACATATCTCTTTTAAATCTGTACCTTCTGAGAAAGGACATGACTGAAAATTGTGAGCATGCACTTTCAATAACAGCAAAATGGAGGGAGGAGGAGAGGCTGAACTGTGGACTGCATCACTCCAGCATCTGTCTGTCACCCCGATTTTAAATGCTGATCATCTCATAAAGAAGAACAGGGAAATTGAGCTGGTGGAGCAGGGGAACAGAAGAAGGGGGGTTCTCCCATAATGCTGCAGAACATGCAGGTGTAATAAAGTGAGAAGAATGTTTCTCTAAATGTTTTTCTTAATTTTTTTTTAATCCTAATGATCTTTTAAACTAAAGGCCTATCCTTAGATACTTTAAAATGATTTTGAAGACCAATGATGTCTCTGTATTCATTTATTTACAAAACAAAAAAATATAATTTGTAATGCATAAATTTCATCGGAGTGTGAAGGGAAAAGTGATTTTATATTGCAAGATACAAAGTAATGACTAATTGTTTATATCTTTCAGTGTGACTTTGTTTTACACAAAACGTTAAAAAAATTAAACTTTTTAATATTAACAGAGAGAAATTTTGTTTTTAATAATGTAGTAAATGTTGAAGTTAAATTTAAGATTAACACATGCTTTTTCATTGTGGTATTGAAGTATTTCACTGTAGTATTTTTCACTGAGTTCATGTTAATTGTTAACAAATGGAACCATATTATAAAGCATTACACAGTCGACTTTTTGTCAGGCAGAAACAGCTTCCATACAGAAGTGCAAATATATAACAGAGTAGGCATTTCCAAACTTTTGACTAGTGTTTCTCCAGTCACTCCTGCTTTTTCTGTGTTTGTGGCAAGGCGGTAGACTTAGTGAGAGAGCTGTTGGTTATACCTGAACATAAACAGAAGTGCGGAGGAAAAGGCGAGTTGTGTGTCAATACATAAACACACTGCATGTGAGAGTGAGAACAGTAAGGAACTTTTCTTAGAAACGGATAACCTTGAGGTTTACTGTGCTAACAGACTTGACATAAAGTCCAGGAGTGGAACAGAGAGCAGAGGACGAGGAGGAAGAGAAAGTTGATAGGGCTAAATAATGGTGTGGATGAATAATACAGAAGTGAAGGAAACATTTCAAGGATGCAGTGGATGAATCGGACAGCAGAATGGATTGTGCTTTGGTAGAGAGATAGAGAGTGTAGGATAGTGATTTAGCAGTTAGCAGAACAAGAAAGTTTTTTTAAAAAACATTTCAGCACACTGGAAAACAGAGATACAGTAGACGAAGAGACAAGGAAGTAGAAAGAAGATTCAAGTGTGAGAGAGAGGAAATGGAAAATTGTGTGTACATACAATAGTAGATTGTATTTATTGTCCATTACAGTCAAAGGAAATTGCCCATCCCGATAACTGCTCTTGTTTTCTTTCCAGATGTGACAGCACTGGATATTTCCAAAACACACACGTTCACACAGACTGCAGCAGCAGCATTATGGAGCTGAGATGCTTATCTGAGGTACGTCTGTTTCCTGTGACCAGGAATGACTGCTGACGCTGACTAGCACAAATAACAACAAGCACAATCATGAGAACCACTACAACATGCATAACAGCTCACAGCACAATAACAGTTTCCTCTCAAAGGAAAGGACAATTGATCAGGTTAAAGCTCATAAAAGCACTATTATATCTCAACTCAGACTTTGTTTCTAGCAATTCTGAATTCTGAGAAGAAAAGTCAGAATTGTGAGATATAAAATCACAATTGCAAGAAAAAAGGCAGAATTGTGAAGAAAAAAATAACAATTAACTTTTTCAATTTTTTAATTTGTGGTGCAAAGAAACAGAATTGCAAGTTTTGACATTTTTTTCCTCACAATTCCCGAGTTTACATCTCCCAATTCTGTTTCTTTGATTCCACCACAGAATAAAAAATGAAAAAGTTTAATTTTGACTTTTTATCTCACAATTCTGTCTTTTTTCTTGGACGGTAATTGTAAGTTTATATCTCACAATTCTGACTTTTCTTCTCAGAAACGCAAGTTTATATTTCTCAATACTGAGTTAGTTTTTTTCAATTGCGAGTTTCTATCTTGCAATTCTGAGTTTATAACTTGCAGTTCTGAGAGTCTGAGAATAAATTGCGTGGAAAAATTCTCAATTACCTTTTTTCATTTTTTTTTTCCGTGGCGGAAACAGGCTTCCATTGATATGTCAGCCATCTTAGATTTATACTGACACCTAGTGGAATAAATGCAGTATCATGAAAAGCAATAGTTTGCAACATTATTAAAGGTTATTCACTATCAGCCATTATTAATGTTTTTATTGAAAAAGTGTCTGGTTGAATTATGTTATGGAATACCCTTTTTTTTTTTTTTTTAGGAGAAATAAAATTACTTATTGCACCTTTAAAGATATTTTGTGCCAACCCTCTTCAGTCCCGTTTTCTAGCAGTAGGATGTGCTAATCTAGAACAGCAGACATGCTACACTGCTCATGAGAGACACCACATTTACTCAAAAACTGTTCGACAGTGAGGGAGGGATGGGGGTCCTTCTATGGTTCAGGTGCTCAGCTTTAACACAGGATGTATATGCTTGAGCAGATGGATCACATTCAAATCATACAGGAAATGAACATACACACTTTCTCACACAGCAATATTCTCATTCTTTCTCATTCACGTGCCAACAAAAGGTTGTGGTCACTAGGCCACACGATTCTGTTTTACTGGCAATCTTCATGAAATCACTGAACAGAAAACATGAGGAAGGTCATGTTATATGTTTCTGAATGTTTAATACTTCTCATATTCCCTATAATATGAAGGAGGATGAAATATGCAATCTCATTAATTTATGTATGTTTTTAAGAATGTGTGTGTAGTGTGTGTGTATATATATATATATATATATATATATATATATATATATATATTACGTGAATACACTTCTCATGTTTAGTTTCTGAAATTAATTAAATTTTTTTGTGTGCCATTCAGTTCTTGAAAAAAAAATAATGTTGGTTTGACTTAATCTGTTATTTCTAATAAAGCAGGAGCAATTTTAAAAGTTTTAAAAAAGGATTCATATTTTGAAACGTTTTTGTGCAGCAAATCAAAATCTGTGTGGCAAGAACAGTACCCTCATGCCAACATTAATTAATATTGGGCAATACATTGTCACAGTATTTATAAAATGTGGGGACTTTCCATAGACTATTATTACTTTTATACTGGCCAAACTATATTTTCTATCCCCTAACCCTAAACCTACCCCTTACAGAAAAACTGTTTGCATCGTTACACTTTCAGATAAACATAATTTACTATTTTTAATAGTTTTATCCCTCGTGGGGACTGCAGGCAATGTCAAAAAATTCAGGTCTTACTATTGTGGGGACATTTGGTTCTCAAAATGTAGCATAAACACACACAAATATATATACATATATATAATCCATTAAACAACTGTATATGGTACATAATATATGTGGCATGATGTTTATGCCACAGAATATTTTACATTTTGTTTTAATAGAAAATATTTGAGCGGCCAAAAGTGCCCTTTGAGTTCAGTCTTTGATCTTGCGGGGTGAATTCGGGAAATCATTATTCGATGGGGGTAGATAATTGTCATTAAATGAAAGACAACGATGGCTAGTTAGCTCGAAAAACACTTGTTGCTGACGTTAACGGGCGCGATGACGCTGAACTTCAAGTTCTCGTAGGACGCGGATGTGATGTCATCACGGACAATGGTTGGCGGTCTCCATAACGACGCCTCGTGCTGCAGTGACGCCAGCCCCGACTCGTGGTGAGGGGGCGTGACTCAGCCAGTGCCCGAACCCCCTCACGCCCCCCACCCCATTACCCTCCTTCCCCCGGCAGTGTGGGCGGCCCCGTGCGGCAGCACCGAGCGAAACACGACACCCGAGAGAGAGAGAGAGAAATGGGGGAGGAGACAGCGAGTAGTTTCAGACTAGGGAGAGTGGAGGAAGGAAAAAAAGTCGGTGTGAAAAAGAGAATGGGAAACTGACTGATATACTGCGAATGGCGAGCCTCAGGAGAGCAGATGACAAACTAACACAAGGATAAAATGTTCCGAAAACCATCAACTGGGCACAAGAGCGCGCGTATGTAACAGAGAGACGCTGAGTGCTGCTTTTCTGCCGTGTTGGGATTGTATCGATCGCTCCCGGGACAGACGGGAAAGCGCTGTTTCGGAACTCCGTTGCACCTCGTCCCGTCGCGCCAGTGGAAGTAAGTTACTGAGCCGCTTTCCCAAACTCAGCGCTGTCGGTCGGAGGGTTTGGAGGGATCGTGTAAAGAGGCCAGAAAACACACAGCGGGAGCAACAAGAGCGCTGAACATTGGACAAAAGTTTGGCCTTTTGGAGACGGGGCTGCGGGAGAGGCCGAGTCTCGCCACTACTGAACTGACAACTTCACCCAGCTTGCTGTGTGTTAGGAGCAGATAACTTTCACCATGAAAACCCCGGGGGACGCGGGTAAGTTACCCAGGCATTCATTATCAAGTGCTGCCACAACTTCTTTGACTTGTGAGCTTGTTGAGCCAGTGTATCAAGTATGGATTTAACAACACTCAAACCAGCTTTCTTTACATTATTCAACGGGAAGCAATGTCAAAATTCACATATGCAGTTTCATGACAACTGACTTTTACTTTCAGAAAAGCTGACAGTGTGTTTCCAGGATTTATTATACTCGGATATTTTTGTTTGTTTGGTTTCCATGGTTACATTATCAGGTGAATCTAATGTTTTTAACTCATGAACTTGAATGGCCGTTTTCAAATCTTAAAACTTAACAAATAATGCGGTTAATTGTTCATTCATTTAAATAACCTCAATTGTTGCGGTATAGTCTAGACGTAGTCCAGCTCAGTGCGTCCGTTCTAGTAGTTCTAATGGTAACAAGTTCTCAAGTTTAAGGTTTTACTTTAAATAGTTTCATTCAAACCTAATGACCGCTTCTTCCAGTCCTGTCAGCGCATTCCGCACTGAACCTGTTGAATGGCTACAACTTTCAAACAGCAGCTTGTGTCGTTCTTGGAAATATGTCGAAATCGACGCTGTGGATTCCCCGCAAAATGTTAAATACTCCTTTTTCCCCCAAAAAAATAGTCCTCCTCGCACACCGCGCGTGCCAGCTGTGCAGCTCAAGCGCGAGCTTTGAACCAGTAGCATGGCACATTCAAAATGGAAGCCCCGCTTTCACACCGGAGTGTTTAATAAACGTTTTCATCACTTTGTTTATAAATGGGCCACTTTACAGTCGGTCCAGTTTCTAGGGATTTTAAATATAGACATTTAAGCTTTGACCTTTAAGTGCATTGAAGCCTAATAACAGAGCTGCGCACTAATTTACCGTTAGGTGAAACGATCGCCTACTTTTATGAATGCTTTCCAGTATTTTTAATTCACTTTAATCACTATTAGCATACTTGCCGTAAGTATTCATTTCCAAACATGTATCTACATGTTCAGTATGTACTTGTGAAGTTGCTACTGTCCCGCCAACTCCAGGAAGTTTCAGTAGCCCTGTTCAGGAGGCCTATCGTGGCATGTTTGTGAATCCATGTTGAGACGCTCTTGCTTTCTCTCTATCTCGATTTTCTCAGCGGTCGTGCGCCGCCACCCGCACCGCTCGAAGTTTTACGGATTTATTAGATTCAATCAGCACTGCGAGCGTGCTCGTCATTACCCAGTATGCAAGCGCGCGATGCGTTGTAGCTTTGTCTCGCGCTGTTGACCGGCCTTAATGAAGTTCGTCCGGTTAAATTGCAAGTACTTTTGTGTATAATCTTTTCATTTTAAAGAATAACAGTGACATTAGTGCTGGGCGGTATGACCAAAAATTTATATCACGGTATTTTTCAAAATTATACCGGTTTCACGGTACATGACTATTTTTTTCATGCATGAACGGGTGTTAACCATATTTTCTACTGACTGAGAGAGGAAATACTGCAGTATATTGACTTAGAATGCCCTATTTTACTGTCATGATGAGTGAATATTGTCAAAAAATGCCACACTAAATAGTGACTAAACACGACCCCTTTTAATGTTAACCAGGAGTCACTCTCATTTATAATCGAGGCATCGTCTGATAAAATCAACATGCAGCTATGCGGTTGTGAAAGTGACGTGACATGTGGCCAAGTATGGTTACCCATACTAGGAATTAGTGCTCTGCATTTAACCCATCCTTATTGTACACACACAGCAGTGAACACACACACACCGTGAACACACACCCGGAGCAGTGGGCAGCCATTTTTTGCTGCGGTGCCCGGGGAGCAGTTGGGGGTTTGGTGCCTTGCTCAAGGGCACCTCAGTTGTGGTATTGAAGGTGGGAGAGAGCGCTGTACATTCACTCCCCACACCCACAATCCCTGCCGGTACGAGACTCGAACACACAACCTTTGAGACTCTCTAACCATTAGGCCACAACTTCCCCGTTTGTTTTGGCTATATTACTTTTTTGTCTCATGCAGCGCACTGCCTGCGTCTGAGTAACAAACTAAAAAAAACAACGAACAAAAAAGTGCATGTGATATTAACAGACGAACTACGCTCATATTTATAATTCCAAACAATCAGTAAGCGACAGGTGCTAAGAAACGCTGTTTTGTACTCATTTATTGACGAGTCGGCTGCGGTGCGGCCAACTGAATGCGATGCTTCTCTGCCGCTCACTGCACAGAACAGACGCTGAGAGAGGTGACACTTCTCCGGGAAAGTCAGACCTCGCGTTCAGAACTCTGTTTGAACAGCAACATTACAGACTAACTAAAGTTGAAAAAGTGAAAAAGCATAATATGGACCCCTTTAAATATCTTAAAGAAATGCATTACCTCAGAAGTTAATTAGGCCTATATATGCTGTGATACTAGTATCAACACATTTGAAAACCACATGTCACTTTCAGCTGTGATTTGTTTAGACAACATTATTCAATCTTTTTCCTAAATGGAGTGCATTTTTAACTAGGAAGATGTGTAAAATTGAAATTTGATGTGGTTGACTTCTTGACCTGCTCTAAAATACTTACTTTCATCAGTAGCATTGGTTTTCCCTTTTTGCAAGATAAAAGTTTCATATCACACATATCTCATCTTAAATCGACAGAGGATGTCATTTTTATTTATGTTGACTTTGTGAAGCTGAACGTTAGCGATGAGGTGCAGAGACGGGATGAAATGTTGCTTTAAGTCAGGTGGCAACAACTACTACAAGTACCTTGCGGTTTTATCAGTCTATGGCTGTGCAGGCCACATTCTGACCTTGATAGTTACGAGGTGAGCTCAGCTGCTGAGTATGCAAGCGAGTGAGCGAGCAAGATAGTGAGACAAAGATACAGTACTGAGTATAGGATGTGGTTTCCAAGTGCTTCACTCTTTATCGGGTTTTAGTATCTCTTCAGTCTGTGTTCTTACCTGCAAACACCCACAGCGGTATACATACGTAGTGCATTTTGGTGAGAGAGCATTTTCTCTGAAAGCCTTGGTTTGTTATGAGAACAGGAGGTGACAACAGCGTTGGTACGGTGTGCATCCTGATAAAAGTCATGTGTGTGTCTGTGAGTCCTTGTAAAACTGATACTATCAACTTCCTCAAAAAGCTCTTGCCACTTGAATCACATTAGATAAGAGACACTGCTCTTATCAGTTCCTCACTCTCTGACTGCCACTTTGCATGAATTCAGAAAATGATGCGCACCTCTTCAGGCTTTCTTCTTTTCCGGGTGGTGTGTGTCTGCATAAATAGGCTTCAGCTGACCCTGGCTGATCTCGTTTCCTCTGTAACATCTGAAAGTGTCTGTGGTTTAACTATGGTCTTACCCATCAGGCCTCAGTTTGTATTTAGTACAGCAGTATCCTGAATGACTAACCCTGTAATTTGTGCGCTGTCTCATGAGATGGTTGTTAGTGAAGAGTCAGTGGTTAAGATTGCAGCTTTAATTTGTAGTATTGGCTTGTTATTTTTCATAGAGGCAGGTGTTGGCCATCAGTGTCAGAAATGTATTCGATATTCAGTATTTGCCCCCACAGGCATTTTTAACTATTTTTTAAATTTTTTTTATTATTATTATTATATTGTGTCAACCTTGTCAAATAGCCTAATTTTTAAAATTAAGTTTACTTTAATCAATCCATTTAAATAAATTCTCAGTGGTAATAATTACATAAGCAGTTATTAATTATTAAAATATATTCAGCACAATTGCTAGTCTGATATTTCTTTTACACAACAGTTAAATAAACAAGAAATGAATATTGAGTAACTTACATTTTAGAGAATATTGACAGTTATCACATTTATTTTTGTCTGTTTTGTCTAACGTAGGGCTGCACGATTACAAAAATCATAATTGTCGATTATTCCCTTGAAATTGTAATTGCGATTATTAATTACGATTATCACAATTTACATTGAATGATGTTTATACCATTGTTTGATGCAACTGCATGCCGTATTTTTATATGAAAATAAACAAGCTGAAAACACTCTAACTGAAAAACTTTTAGTGCTTTTCTATAGTATTAAGCCTCAAATGTCAACTATACATCGGATTGGTTTCTTCTTTAAATTATAAAAAAGTAAAAATATGAATGGTATTATAATGTTATACTAAAATTAAAATAATGGGAAAAACCCTTAAGATAACATGCAGAAAGAAAAAAACGCATCTTAAGCACGCAGAATAACATAAGTGGACTTTGAACGATTAATTGCCGCTTTTAACGATTACGTAATTGTAGCATCCATAATTGTAATCGCGATTAGAAATTCGATTAATTGTGCAGCCCTAGTCTAATGGAAGTGTTTGTGTTTTGGTGTTTTAAACAAATCGTTTGAGTGAATGATTCAATGGCTCCCTCATAAATGCAGTCCCTTGTTTTGCTCTTGAGTGAATCAGTGGTGTTGAATGAATCGCTTAAGTGAATAATTCAACGATTCCCTTATAAAGAATTCCACTCAGCCAATCAAATTCTAATTGTTGTATAAATAAATTGAAATAATAGCGACTATATCACATTTTAAATTTCAGGTGCATTTTTGACCCAATTCCAGATAATTTCGAACCCTGGCACAGTTTTCATGTGTTTCATGTTGCTTATTCTGTTTATTTGCTTTATTCTACATGTTGCCTGTATGTTTGTGAGTGTGTCGTTGTCATGCTTACTGTATGCTGGTTTCCATGTAGGTGTAATAGATTGTTAATTTGGAATAATTAGCAGCCTTTTATCACTCGTTCACATTGTTACACAGGAGACTGTGTGCTCCATTTGAGTCAGTGTTATGCAGCCGCCTCAGTTGTTCAGGTCTCTCTGGAACCAGTTCAACATCAACAGGCACCTCTCTATGTTTACATGCTTATGTATCCTGTTCAGCAGCATGTGCGTATGTTTGTGCGAGACAGCCAGCATGTGAATGTGTTTTGTATTTTCCGCACTGCCTAGTTTCCCATCAGTCCCATC